TAGAGCGGAAGAGAGCCAAAGCATAAGAGACTCTTAAAAACTGGGAACAAACTGAGGGCTGATGGGGGGGTAGGAGGGAGGGGAGGGTGGGTGATGGGTATTGAGGAAGGCACCATTTGGGATGAGCACTGAGTGTTGTATGGAAACCAATTTGACAATAAGTTTCATATATTGAAAAAAAAACAAAATTAATAGTGAGGGCTGGGCTAGTTCCTCAAAATTTCCATGTTATAAAAAGCCAAGAAAAAAAAAAGTCTACAGAAATGTTCCAGATGAAAGGAGTCTAAAGAGACATGGCACCCAAGACTAATTCCTGTATTAGATGAGGGATGATGTGTTTAAGGACATTATCAGATCAAATGACAGTACCGGAATATAAACAGTAAATGAGACAAAAATACAACATCAGTCTAAGTTTACAGTAAGTGTGCTGTGGTTTTAGGTTCAGAGCAGTGAGAGGAGGGGATAGTGGTAGAAAGGGCCAAAGGGTTAAAATGTCAACAGTAAGTGCATCGAGGTAAAGAGTATACAGCTCTCGGTGTTATTTTTATTTTGCAGTTTTTTGTAAGCCCTAAATTATTTCCCCAAAAAGGTAATTTTTAAAAAGCCAATCCAACATGTTCTGGCCCCTATCTCCAAAACAACAGGTACTCCTCTGTCTGTCTCATCTTCCTTTTCCCTCTTCCCTAGAGCATTCTGCTAAGCTCAGAAACATCTTCATGTGCAAAAAAACAAAAACAAAAAACAAAAAAACCACTCCTGATCCCCAGGCACTCTGGACTTACTGAAAGACTTCTGCTTACACTGTCACACTTTCTCAAGGTTTGGTTTGCCTTTGACCACTCCAGCCTGGCCTCTGCCATCACCAGGTACCGAAACCCGTCTTGCAGGTCGCCAACCCCAAGGGACACTTCAGTTACTACCTACCTGACCTTTCCAAGGTGTTGACCACACCCTCTTCCTGGAAATAATCCCCTTCTCCTTGTTTTGGATCAGATACCTTTGACTTTCCTCCCGCCCCTCCCCGCCTCTAACTTCCTCTGCCATTTCCTAACTCTCTCCCTGACTTCAAATGATTGTGGTTCCTGAAGGTTCTCCTTCCACTCTGTCTTGCTAGGTCATCTTATCCATCCCCAGGGCTTCAAACACCATCTACATGCGAACGGCTCCCAAATTTATTTCTCCAGCCCACAGCTTTCCTCTGAATTCTGTATTCACGCAGCCTGAATGCCCGGATATCACAGATTGAAATTTCTCAAACGTAGCATTTTCAGACGTGAACTCTGGCTCTCCCCCAACCCCAAACCTTCTCCTAAGTCTTTCCATTTTAGTAAAGTGCCACTTCTGCTCATCTAAGTCAGAAAATACTGATCAACAGTTGGATGTTCACATTACAAGCAACATTTTTTTCTTTATGCTTTTCAATGGTTTCAGACTTCCCTACAATAAACATCCTATTACACTTATGAATACATTAAAGAACCAAAATCTTTCTTTGAAACAGAACAAGACAAAGATGTGCTTTATAGTCTCTATTTTTGTTCTTAATTTTGATTTTATGAAGTCTAAAAATTAATATTAACTTTCATATTACCAGAAGTGTTTGGATTTACTGAAGACATCACAGAATCAGCTTCTATCTAGAAAAGAAGAAAGAAAAGCACATATAATTTCATCAAATGTTTTCACAGTGGGAGTTCTTAATTCCTGGGGTGTGGAGAAGGATTATATTTTATGAGAAACAAACTGTGTTGAGTCCAGCAGACAACTAATATCACAGGACAAGACAGCTGTAATAGTCATTTTATTCTTCCATCTGTATCTAGGGTTGGGGGGGGGTATGGGTGAAACAGGTGATTGGGGATTAAGGAGGGCACTTGTGATGAGCACCGGGTGTTGTAGGGAAGTGTTGAATCATTATATTGTACACTTGAAACTAATATTACACTCTATGTTAACGAACTGGAATTTAAAAAAAAATCTTTAAAAAAATCAATAAAAAATTAAGTGGCATTAAAGCAAGAAATATCTATATACCTATATGACACAATATGCTAATCTGCTACAGACCCTAATGGTCCCAATACTATTCCATTGACCAACACAGTTTAAGCATATACCATCAACTTGGCTGTCACATGACCTAAAAGGTAACTTTTCAATTTTAAACAAATACAAGCAATTGTTGCAATGAGCTCTATGGCTTTGTTTTTTACCTCTTTTTTCCTGATTATGAAAGTAATATGTAGAAAACACAAAAAATATGTAAGATCGTGAAGAACATTTTTTTTTAATTTTATTTATTCATTTTTTTTTTACGAAGAACATTTTTAAAAACAGCCGTCCAATGAGAACCACTATTAACATTTGGCCTAGTCTGCATTTTTCTTTTCCTATGGCTTTTTAAACATGTTTCAGAACATACCCTATATAAGTGTCAGGAAACTGCTTTCGCTATATATTAAAATATAAGCACTTCCCTTTACTGTTACAAGGGCATTATAAACATTATGGAATGAGAAAGTTGGCAATACCTGACATAGTTTCTCTACCTTGGATTCCATGCCCTGCACTTTCCTGGTTCCCTCTGCCCCTGCCTACCCTTAACTGTCGGTACCCCCAGTGATCCACTGCCTTTCATGCTGTGTAACACCGTTTTGGGGCAATGCCACCCAGGCTCATGATCTAGCACCTGTAAACTGAGGAGTCCACAAACTGTCTCCAGCCCTTACCTCTCAATTCCTCACCCAGTTCCAGACTCCTACATTTACAAGCGGTGGCACAATCTGAGAGCCAATCTTTACCACCATAACCTCAACACCAGCATAATATTTAATGAGTAAATTCACTTAGGATGCTCAGAGCCTCCTTAAACTTAATGTGCCCCAAATTGAAGTCATTGACTTTCCTCTAAGCCTACTCCTTAATTTTCCTAGTTGGTGGCATCACTATTGCTATAGTCCTGGTTTCACACCCCTCTCTTAACCACCAACCACATCAAGTCTTCAGGGCAGATCATCTCCCAACACCACAAAGTGCTTCTGGACACCTCATATCAGAAGAGTCTAGCTAGCTCTTCCAGTCTAATTGACTCCTAGACTCCTACTTTACACTAGGATTTCAAGACCCTCTTCCTTGTCCCTTTCACTTTGGGTTCTTTCTGTTCTTCTCCATCTCAGTATTTATCACAGAGTTTTATAAGTCTCTCTACACTAAACTGTGAACTGCTTCACAACAGGGACTATATTTTATTCGTCTTTATATCTCCAGCAACTAGCAAGTGTTCATTTTATTAAACAGGAACACTTAATAGATTTCATTGTGTAAACAACTGCGTGAGTGTATAAATGATTTATTACATTCCATGCATTCAATAAATATTTCATTTGCTCAAAAGCAATATTCAAAAATAAAACCCTAGGGGTGCCTAGCTGGCTCAGTCAGGAGTGTGCGGCTCTTGATCTCAAGGTTGTGAGTTCAAGCCCAATGTCGGATGTAGGGATTACTTAAAAATAAGATCTTTAAAATTAAATAAAATTAAACCCCAAACCTCAACCCACTATAAAAGTAAAATTCTGCTACATTTCACAGAGGGTGTACATTGTCATTTAACAAAATGATTGACACATACAAACGATTGACAGGTGTACCGGTGACTTGCTATCACTTTACTGCTTAGTCATTTGCAGTCAAAAGACATTTAAAAAATAAAAGCCAAGGGGCACCTGGGTGGCTCAGTGGGTTGAGTGTCCATCTCTTGATTTCGGCTCAGGTCATGATCTAAGAGTCCTGGGTTTGAGCCCCCCGTTGTGCTCCACCCTGGGTATGGACACTGCTTGAATTTCTCTCTCTCCTTCCCCCTATCCTTCTCCCACCTTCTCAAGTACTCTTAAAAACAAAACAAAACAACAAAACCACTAAACCTCAACCAGGCATGAAAATACAAGTAAAAATCTGTTAAATCTCATGAACTGTACATATACATGTATGTGAGCGCATCACTGTACTTGTCATTCAATTCCTCACTTATAGTCTAAAGTTAAAGCCAATTAAATAGGCTCAAGGGTGATCAAAGCAAAATGAAACCAGTTATCTTTCCAGCAAGGTTAAATACAATGCTTCAAAGGCTGGGCCCATTAAGCTGACCTGCTCTGGAATTCTAGCTGAAATACCTGCAGGTTAACAGGAGAGCTGCAATTTCTGGGAGTCAGCCCTGACTACCGCTCCGAGCTCCGTGATCAGCTTCTCAGTAACCAAGCATCTGCTAGTAGGTGAACCACCTTGAGCCCACCTGATCCGTTCATGGGACATATTTGTATCAGCAGAACTTATTTACCGTGAAGTGGTGATACATTCACGCATAATGAAGGACGGAGACATGAGACATCACCTGGTCCCTGGCTTTGCTGGGCTGGTAATCTGACAGGCAGATCCCCCTCATGAGGAATAGCTGGGCCAAAGTGATTGCCAAGCTGTTTGGTTTAAGGAGGGCACGAGGGAGCCCTCTGTTTGATGGCTGCAAATGAATTTCTTAAACCTGGACAAGATCTTGTCTCTGATGAATTTCAGTTCAGCACCTTAACAAGAGGGATCCATCTTTAGAATGAATGTAACAAAGAGAGCAGCACAAAGACAAAGGGGAACAGGAAATTTGCCCTCCTAAGGCAGGACGTTCCTTGAAGCTCAGTTCAACTCTCATTATTAGTGAATGAGGGCAAACTTTCCCGAAGAATAATATCCAACAAAACTTCAAATTACCTAGCAATTGTACTTCCAGGAATTTATTCCACAGATATACATCCACAATAGCCATATAAAAGCCATATAAAAGGATGCTCATCACAACGTTTGTAGGAATGAAAAATAATGGGGCAATCTAAGTGACCAAAAACAGGAAACTGGCTAAAAAGAATACTATGCAACTACTTTTTAAAACACGGTGATGTGTGGGGTGCCTGGGTGGCTCAGTTGGTTAAGTGTCAGACTCTTGGCTTCAGCTCAGGTCATGATCTCATAGTTCGTGGGTTTGAGCCCTGTGTTGGGCTCCATGCTGACGGTGAGTGGCCTGCTTGGTATTCTCTCTCCCTCCCTCAAATAAATAAACTTAAAAAAAATTAAAGTTAAAAAAAAACACAGTAAAACATGGTGGTGTGTGCTCTTATGTTAAGTGAAAATAAACAAAATAAAACAGGCATACAATGCATCCACTTTTTCAATAGAATGCCAAGCATGTTATGCACTGGAAATTTTGAATGATGCATAAAAAATTGTAAATGATAACCCCTGAGGAGTGGGACTCTTTGGTAGCAAAGAGATTCTATATTCAACTTCATACTTTGCCTGGATTGTTTGAATTTTTTGACCATATAAATATATGTTTTATAATTTAAATGAATTCCTCCTATTACCAATGCCCTCCCCCAGCCTTCCGTCTTGACACCTTCCTAGCATCTTGTACTTATTATTAGTAACCAGTGGTGCGTTGGTTTCATGAACTTGAATTCATCCCTGAGTTAATTTTTTTTATTTTTGTTTAATGTTTGTTGGAGCATGAGCAGGGGAAGGGCAGAGCAAGAGAGGGACACAGAATCTGAAGCAGGCTCCAGGCTCTGCTCTGAGCTGTCAGCACAGAGCTGACGTGGGGCTCAAACTCACCAGCCCTGAGATCGTGACCTGAGTGGAAGTTGGACACTTACTGGACTGAACCAGCCAGGCATCTCTCATCCCAGAGTTAGGTTCTTAAAAGTCAGCACTGGACATATCTCTGAAATTGCTCTGAAAGGCAGGGATTTCCTTATAAACATCCTAAACTAGCCACTGCGCTTTACTTACAAACTACCCCAACTGTATTGTCTACCCATTCCCAAATATAAGAAGAAAGCTCTACCTTGGTGGGCTTGTACCCAAACAGCATTACAACAGCCACTTTAAAGTCCTCTCTGCTTAGATAGCCTTTGTTATCTTCATCGCATGCTTTAAACACCTAAAGAACATTAAATATCTTCAGTTAGATGGAAACCATTTGTTCTATTATCTTTATTACTAGTTTATGTAGATCTCCAAAATCTAAAACTCAGCTGACCAGGAGGGTTCGGCAATGGAGTTTGATTATTCTAATTTTACTTCTCCAAAATTCTTAATGTGCTAAAATTTACCCCCCAAAAGTGCAAACGACTTAATCAATCGCTAGACTGACGCAAATTAATTCATTTAAACCACTGGGGTAAATTCTACCTAAAATTCAGTTCCAGAATTAGGAAGGTGAGATAGATACAGGGTAGAGGTTATTATTAATAGACTTCGTAGCGGGGAAAAGAAGGAACTTGGAAATAGCCAGAACACTGGACAGGGAGCGAGAAGCCTTGCAGCTCTAGGCTCAGTCATTAACTATGACACTTTAGAAGGCCAGTTCACTCCTTGTCAGTGCAACCGAGCTGAGTGAGACCCAGGCAGGTGACGGAAATGAGAGTTCCTGGTCAAGTTAGAATCCGAGTAGCAGCTCCCCGGACACCTACTTTCACCCACTTCTTGTGTTCTGAGGGGCTGGCTTCCCACGTCCGTGGTCGGGCCCCAGCCTCAGAAAAAAACATCGCGACCGCCACAACCGAATCGCGATAGCAGAACCCGCGACCTCCGAGGCCAGAACCCAGCAGCTGCAGACCTCTGGCCAAGCTCCCCGCAGCTAAGGAAGCCGAACTTGGCCGGACACCCCCAATGTCCTCTCCCATTGGACGACCTGCTAGCCACTGGCGTTGATCCAGCAATCCTATTGGCCAGAGGCTCCTTGGAACAGCCTATGGCAGAGAGGCTCCGGAGCCCGCCCCCAGCCTTGGCTCCGCCATTCTTTCCCCCTTAACTCCTCGCTCGCGGACTGCCTCCCGCTCACCTGGGTCCTGCTTCAAAGGCTCTTGCAGGATTCCTTCCATGTTTCTGCCCCTCACACCTTGCAATAAGTAACTTTGGTAATTTTTATCTATGGCACTGTGGATAACATTATAGCATTATAGGAAACACAAAAATGTGAACAAAGCATAAAAGCAACCAAAGAGAAACAAGTCCATGATTCACGTGTGGATCGGCTATTCATTGGAGTCGAGCCCTCCAGGGTAGTCACTATGTCTGTTTTGTCCTCCCAATAACCCAGGCACCTAGCACGATGCCAGGCACAAAGCAGACGTTGAGTAAACGAACCACGTCCTTGGGACGTTTCCACAGAGTTTTTCACTCAGTCCTCTGAGCGGTGCCTAGTTTGAAAGAAGAAAAAAAAACAACTCTGAAAATAGTTATCATAAACGTGATATTCAAGGAATATGGGGAGTGTTCCGTTTTGCAAAAGTTTGTTTCAGACCTCGGTTCTGGCAAACCAGTAAGATTAAACACACACCTGTTTCAAAGAAACAGGCATTCGCGGTTGAGTGTGAGGGGAGCTCATTTAACCTTTTCCTTTGCAGCAAGTTTTACAAGCTTGCGTCCCCAGCGAGCCCCCGCTCCTACGAGGACACAGGTCTCAGCCCTCAGCTGATCCTGTACCTTTAAGTAAATACCCCCTGCCTCGAGCTCCAGGCAGCCTGAAGCTCTCTATGAGAACCACTGTAAAGGGGATGCGTTTTGTTAATTAAGAGAGGAGAGAGAAGACTTAATTTTCTCTCTCTTCCTTTTAGGACAAGTGGTCAAGTGGTGAGACAAGAGCTGGAGGCTGCGGGGGTGGGGGGGGGGCTCCCTTCCTGCAGGAAGCTCCGGTAGTCCCTTAGGACACGGCGGTCTTTAGGACCCAGCGGCCGGCGTCCCGGAACGGGAAGGGGCAGGGCCAAGAGGTGCGAGCCTCGGCCGGGAGGGTTTAAACCGCGCGCAGGCGCGCGC